GTTACAAAATTAACCTACAAAAGTCTGTAGCCTTTCTATATACCAATAACAAGCAACCAGAAAAAGAGCACATGGAAACACTCCCCTTCACTAGCTGCAAAAAAAAAAATAAAAAAAATAAAAAATTGGAATAAACCTGACCAAAGACATTAAAGACCTCTACAATGAAAATTTTAAATCTTTAAAGAAAGAGATTGAGGAAGACATCAGAAGATGGAAGAACCTCCCATGCTCATGGATTGGAAGAATTAATACTGTGAAAATGACCATCCTACCAAAAGCCATTTATAGATTCAATGCAATGCCAATCAAAATCCCCATGACATTTTTCACAGAATTGGAAAAATCTATCCTAAGATTCATATGGAAGCACAAGAGACCCCGGATAGCTAAAACAACCCTGAGAACTAAGAGCAATGCTGGGGGGATTACTATACCAGATTTTAAGCTCTACTACAGAGCTATAGTCATAAAAACAATATGGTACTGGCACAAAAATAGACCCATAGACCAATGGAACAAAATTGAAGACCCAAATATGAGTAATTGCAATTTTAGCCACCTGATATTTGACAAAGGGGCCAAGAACATTAACTGGAGGAAAGACAGCATGTTTAGCAAATGGTGCTGGCAAAACTGGATCTCCACCTGTAGAAGAATGAAACGTTTATAAACCCCTATCTTTCGCCTTGCACAAAAGTCAATTCCAAATGGATCAAATTAATTCCAAATGGATCAAAGACCTCAATGTAAAGCCTGAAACTCTGAAAGTGTTAGAAGCAAACATTGGGAAAGACCTACAAGGTATAGGTGTAGGAAAGGATTTTCTAAACTGGACATCAATTGCTCAGGAAACAAGGTCAAGAATCAACAAATGGGACCTCATTAAACTAAAATGCTACTGTACATCAAAGGAGGCAACCAGGGAAGTGAAGAGAAAATCTTCACCAACGACACATCTAACAGAGGTTTAATATCCAGAATGTATAATGAACTCAAAAAACAAGAGAATCAAGACAAGAAGCAACCCAATTAAAAGATGGGCTAAGGAGCTGAACAGAGAGTTCCCAAAAGAAGAAGTAAAGATGGCTATAAAACATCTTACATGATGTTCAGCATTACTAATAATTAGGGAAATGCAAATTAAAACCATTTTAAGATTTCATCTTACCCCAGTCGGAGTGGCTAAGATCAAGA